GGTGTCTCACGCCTATAATCCTAGCTTTTCAGGAGGTAAAGATCAGAGGATCACAGTTCAAAGCCAGCCTGGCAAAAAGTTCAGGAGATCCTACCTTGAAAATACTTAAAACACAAAATGGGCTGATGGAGTGGCTCAAGGTGTAGTTCATGAGTTCAAGCCCCAGTGCTGCGCAAAAAAAAAAAAAAAAACCCAACTCTAACAATTCAAAAGAAATCTCCATCGTATGTTCTAAATCAGTTGTGATACCACGAGTAATAATCGATGGTAACATGGTAGGTATAAAACCCCACAAAAAGTAGATCCATTGTTAAAATTATAAAAAGTCCTAGAACAAATTATCACAAAATTACACATACTACTCAATAAAAGGAAATTCAAGTGGCATTTAGAAATAAGCAAAATATCAGCTGCATGCAATGGCTCATGCTTATTAGTCCAGCTACTCAAGAGGCAGAGATCAAGAGGATCAGAGTTTGAGGCCAGTCAAGGCCAAAAGTCACCCAGATCACCCATCAACAAATAAACTGGGCATGGTAGTACACACATAATCCCAGCTATGCAGGAAGCATAGCCATAGCTAGGAGGATCAGGGTCCAAGGCCAGCCATGGGCAAAAACACAAGCCCAAACCAAGAAAAATCCAAGGAAAGAAAATAAGCAAATTACCTTAAGGATACAGAAATAATAAACACAAACTTATTCTGAAATAACAATATAGGGGAAAAAGACAAAGAGGTTAACAAATTAACATAAAATGAAAAACCTCTTAAACATCAAGTATTGTGGGGACAGTAAAATATACGTATTTATTTCCTCCAGATGTTTGAACAAGTGAGTATTCACAGAAAAGGTAATTTGAGCCATCTCCAAAAGGAGAAAGAAGGGAATATTTTCTTCAGGTTTAGTTGAAGATGCAGGAGTAACAAATGTACCAACAACTGCCAATGCATTTGGAATTTTACACAATACAAAAGGTCCCATATGATTAGAATTAGTGTATTTTGATGGATACCTGAGGAGACAAAAAATACTCAGAAGATATTTATGTGAAAAGTATACACTACGTCAGTGGTTGTAAAAAAAGAAAAAAAGGGAAAGATACAATAGACTTTTTAAAGAACAGGGATCAAAGACAATATGGTAAGAAAATCTCAGGATTTAGAATTAAATAAAACTTCGCTAGAATCCCATTTCTACCACTTACTATCATTAGGCTTTTCTAAAACACAATTTCCATTATTTATCAAAGGGGGTAATATGTCTTTAACGGTATAAAGGCTTACTTTTAAGTGTGTATTGTTCAATGTGTTATCTTTCAGTTAATGAGTTGATGGGAAGGCAAACCTCAGCAGTTCACTTCTTAAAAGTGGTAGTGCTGGGCACCGGTGGCTCATGCCTATAATCTCACCTACTCCAGAGGCAGAGGTCAGGAGGATCACAGTTCAAAGCCAGCCCAGGCAAATAGTTCTCGAGACCCTATCTCAAAAAAAAAAAAGCCAATATAAAACAGGGTTGGTGGAGTGGCTCAAGTGGTAGAGTACCTACCTAGAAATCATGAGGCCCTGAGTTCAAATCCCAGTACCACCAAAAAAAAAAAAGTGGTAGAATGTAGGAGGCACCAAGGAAGTACTTAAAGATATTTAACCTCAGCAACAAGGAAGATGACAATGACTTCAACTAAAGAACACACAGGAGAATGTGAGAAGTAATCAATTTAGATAACAGAAATACAGAGCTGGGGGTGTGGCTCAAGTACTAAGAACACTTGTCTAGCAAGCACAAGTTCAAACCCCAGTGGAAGGGTGGGGGGAAGGAGCGGGGGGAGAAGGGAAGAGAGAGGGGAAGGAGGGGATGGAGAAAGAATTAAAGCTGCAAAACTTTAAGGGAAATATTGTATTTCTATGATTCTCCATCAGTTCCAAACGCAAATATTGTTTAAAAAAAAACACATAAAACACTGTTTTATAAAGTCACATATGGCAGGCTATTTCATAACCGGAGATTCTGTCATAAAATAAATAAAAAGATAAGTATGTAATAAAAAGATGGGAACCACAGGGGTGCTTAAAGTAATCCAGATTTTGAAGGAGAAAAACAAAACAAAACAAAACAGAAGTAATACAGAACTGAAGAGAATAAATGCAACATGAATGACTGTGTTGTATCAATGAGTTCAAAAACTAGAGAAAGAGATATTATTGTTTAAATTATTTAGGTTGATTTTCTAAGTGGAATAAGGTTAATGTGTTAATATTAAGAAATCAAAGTAAAGATATGTTTAAAGTCTTAGAAAGAAAGGAAGCTAACTATCACTGAGAAAAATGATGAAATCACAAGGGAAAAGGGCCAGTCTTTCAAATGTTGCAGTTTTGCCTAAAAAAATTACAGCCTATGTCTAGAAACCAAGGTATGCAATTCTCATATTCAAAATAAGGTGCCCTTCTTCCAGTTACTCAGTTAAATAATTAAACCAATTATAGTTCTAGTGCAACCAGAGTTATATCATATAGAAATGAGATTTCTGAGTCTGACAAACAGTGGTTCAATTTTTTCTTCCTCTACACTAACTCTTCAACCCTCTCATTACTTACTTTTGTAAAGATGTTTCTTCATTTAGCAATAACATCCAAGCCAAAAGCTATTAAGAAGAACAAAGACTATAAAAGTGAAGAGCTTAGCACAGTGCCTAACAAGTTTACCATTTAAGAAACACAGCTATAGTTTTTAAAAACATAAGATAACCAAATATTTTTTTTCTCTTATGATTACAGAAGACCTAAGCCTTAAAGGAAACAAATGGAACAACAAAAACTTAATCTGGCTGAAAATTCATTTAAACTTTCATATGTCAAAAAATATAACCATATTAAAAAGTAAACATCAAACAAAACCAAAAACTGGTGGAATTGATTTATACAAATTATTTTCTTCTACAGCAAAAAGATTAAAAGTCTAATGGAAAAATTATACAGTGCACTGACAAGCATTTGCTCTGAATGAACTACCCCAGACCCCATTTTAGGAATTTAGACAGTGAGTAATGGAGACTAGATGGGGATTTACCAGCACTCCAACATGTGACAAAATGCGAGGCATTTCAGAGCTTATAATGCTCTAAATTTGGATTGTGACATTCCTTATGTCTTTAAAAGAAAAGAACTACCTGAAGCATAAAATAACAGTGTATCTGAAATATGTATGAGGTTCAAATGACAAAAATTTTTCACATATTAGTGTAAATCTAGCTGTTGTAATTGAAAATAAAGCATGAAGGACGGAGCTGAGGGGAAGAAGTGACTGGGGCAATGTAACTTATGTACACTGTACAATAAAAGTCTAATAGGAATTGTCACTATGAATCCTCCCATATTATAAATATATTGTAATAAAAAATTTATAAAGAAACAAAAAGAAAACAAAGCATGACTCAAGTGTACACTCTTACACTATCATGATGGTTTTTCAAGCTGTATTTAAAAAGGGGCACCTTAGAACTGCCATGGGGACAAAGCATGGGGAGGTCGAGTCGAGTCGAGTGAGTGGCTACCCCCTGCACTAGACAGCACTCCACTCTCACAATCACCTTATCTATTCTGAAATGTTTGAGGCCCGATTTATTTCCAAATTTTCTTTTTAAAACTTAAATGTAGTTATAATAACCCATGTCAAATCCTACTGATCTCAAAGATGAAAAATTAACACATCAAAACTTTCCAATGAAATCTTAAGTACATATATGATAATATGAAACCTCTGAGTTTTGTTTTGTTTTCCCTTATCTTTAGAAAACCACTTCCCAAGTTTCAGTTCAGGCAAATACCATACTTCGCAATATTTTTGGAGTAATTTCTTTATTTCTAGGCCCAAAGCAACTATTGCTATGATATTAATATTAAATTCAACAGTTTTGTAGTCCTTTTTTGAAGTTTGGAGACAGAAAACCAAGTTATTAAGTTTCTTATATCTTTCTGAATATGTTATATACACGTGGGACTGTATTTTGGGTAGGAGTAAATTTTAAATACTAATTTACTCACAATTTGGGAGGAAAAATATGCTACCTCTGGCTAAATTGAAATTTTGGTGTTAACAGAACTATCCATATTATACAACAATTGCCAATTTTTTAAATTAAAGTATAATTATAATCCAAATTATTTTGTAGGTCCTTTGAAACCTTACATAGAACTAGTTCTTCAGTTATAAAAATTTCTTTCATTATTTGGTATTGATAAGATAGCCAAAGACAGTTATGTATCTGTAATAACCCTGTAACAATGTACTACTAAAGATGTTTCCTTGACAAGTTTGTTTACATATAATTTTTATTTCCTGCTAAAAAATTACAAAAAGACAACATACAGAGCCTCCTGTTGCTCAGATTCCATATAAATGGAACTTTCTACGATAAATGGTATAATATGATGTTTTTAGTGTCATATCCTAACTCTAAGACTTAAAAATAACTAAATAGGGCTGAAGGTATAGCTCAGGGGTACAGTATATGCTTTGCATGTGTAAGGCTCATTTAGTTAGACTAAGCGTAATGACTCACACCTGTAATCTCAGCTATGTGGGAGGCAGAGATTGGGAGGACTCCAATTCGAGGCCAGTTTGGGCAAAAACTTAGCAAGATCTCATCTGAACCAGTACATATGGTTGTAGTCCCAATTATGCAGGAGGCACTGGAAGGAGGATCATGGTCCAAGGCCAGCCAGGCAAAAAAGCAAATTGTAAAAATACCCAAAGCAAAAAAGAGCTATGGGTGTGGTAGAGCACTTGACTAGCAAGCATGAGACCCTGAGTTCCAAACCCAATACAATCAAAAAAATCATTTAGCTAGTTAATGGACTTACTATCTTTAATTTAAAAAATTTTTAAATCAGCTAAGTATATCAGCTAAGTCATCCAATCTTTTCATACCCAACACCCCACACAAACATGGAAAGCAGCCAAGAAATTCACTTTCAAAAAATGTCTAATAAAAATTATTTTTACCTGTAAATTGTTTTCTGTGACTCTGTTCCACCAAACCATATTGATGGGTACTCCTGATTTACACCTGTCAGCAAGGCAGCCAATAGGGTTCTTTGCTTTTCGAGCCTTTGATCCCATCGGAACTAGCCTCTCCTCCAGCATCCCCAGGCGATACTTCCTTGGCTACGAAAAAGAAGGAAAAAACCAGGCCACTCCTACATCCCCCCACACTAATCTAAACTAATAAAACTAACATATATAAGTTATCAGGAATGTTAGGCTACGAAACAAGTAAAATCTCTAAGACATTCTATTCTAATGTCCAAATCACCGCCCACCATCTCCCATTCCCACTCCCACCTCTAAAATAACCCACAGTAATAATAGGATGAGTAATATTATGTAAAGCAATAGATGTTTTAGGAAAATATACTAAAATCTCATTCAGTGACTTTATTTAATGAATAGAAATTAATTTAGCAAAGAAAATGCTTTGCAAATTTTTTTCCCACTGGAACTTACCTATGCTCACTGTATAAATGAAGAAATGGTTTCAAGGACCCAAAATAAAAAAATTCTCCATACTGTATCTTTTTCAGTAACTCATCTTGCTACCTATTTCCTACTGAGAACTACTCCAACTAAAGGAAAAAGGTGATTGCTAATGAACAGCTTTTTAAAGATTATTTTAATGCTATCCACAATAGGCCAGAGTACAGTCACTCCTAAACTTGAGTGGGGATTCAACCTAAGGTACTTAAGTAAAGAAATAACTTCAAAAACTAAAAATAAACAACATAAATTTCATTGGTCTTTTAAATTTCAGTAATTTGAACAGACTGTTATTGAATAAATTGTCCAATAAAATCATAAATTCATTGGCTAATGTTATAAAAAAGACAGTAAACCATCTTGACAGTGGTTAGTAGGGCTTTATATGTGAAAATTACTAGATGATAATTTTCATCATCTCTTAATTATAGCAAATTTACAATAAATTGTATCTTAAAGGAAAACATTTCCCTTTCAGGGAATAAACCAATACATGTTTGAAAAGGTATCTATTTTTAAACCTGAAATTAAAAAGAAAACTATATTTGCTCATTGTTCCATTCAGGTAGAATATAAAGAGATCAAATTTTAAGAAAACATTTGACTTCTAAGTTTCAAAAACCTTGCAAATACCACCTATGGAAATTATTATATTCAAATTAGATTCTCCTCTCCACAAGTGGCCTCTGCTATACCATCTTTGATTTAAAAGAGAGAGGAGGGAGGAAGGGGAAGAGAAGGGAGAAGAGGAAGAAGAGAAGGGGAAGAGGAGGAGGAGAAGGTAGCATTAATACCTTTCAAAATACCAAGCATGAACAAAAAGTTCAGGAGATCCCATTTCAACCAATGGCTGGACATACCTTTCCCTCAAAGAGAGGTTATACTATACAGGGTAATACAGACATGAAAACAGAACTCAGTGTAATATAAATGTACACATAATCCAGTAGACCCAGAGGTAACGGGGCTTCTCAAGGAAGGCAAATAAGTGCCTGAGCAGATTTTTCAAGGGGGAATAATGTGCATACAGAGGAAAAAATGTGAGAAAGATGTACTGTAAGGTTAGGAAAATGTCTACTAGAGCTGTAACTGCACTGTAGTATTCAGCCCACCCTTAGAGAGTTGACTTTGAGAACCAAAGGTAAGGCTTCAAAGCCATCAGGGCCATTACTGATAGCCTCCAAAGCAAAGTCCAAGGTTTTCAAATCCTTATCTCCAAACAAAGCCAATTCCAATGGTTTAGAAATAAGGGAAATCCATTCTCATTCCTAACAAGTGAAGTAAGTGTCTAGACACACTATGTCAAAGGAAAGAAAAAAGCTAACTTTAGGACTTGCTATTTTGAAGCTTAAATGTACAAAAACATTTTTGCTCATTCTCTCAATGTTTCAGTATAAGCCTCTCTGCCCTTCTTAGAAATATAAATGGCCAGCTGTGCACCAGTGGCTCACACCTGTACACCTGGCTACTTGGGAGGCTGAGATACAGAGGACAACAGTTCAAGGCCAGCCCAGGCAAATAGTTTGTGAGACCCCATATCCAAAATAACCAGAGAAAAATGGACTGGAGGTGTGGCTCAAGTAGTATAGCACCCACTTTGCAAGTGTAAAACCCTGAGTTTAAACCCCAGCCCCACCAAAAAAAAAAAAAAAAAAGAAAGAAATATAAGTGACCAGTAACATCTATTCTTTTCCCCCCAAAAAGTTCAGAATATAGAGAAAGAACTAAACGTCCCTGCATGTACAGAAAATATTAAAACTACCAAGTAACAGACCAATTTTCAGAGCACAACTCTTTTGGTAACCACAAAACAACACCATGTCCAAACCGCCTCATGTTCCCACCACACATTACAGATCATAATTAATTACTAATAATAAACTAGAGAAAACAAAATATTACCCCAGGACAAGTTTCCAATGCCCTGAACTGTCATCAAAAATGTAAAATTGAGGACAGGGCATGGCGGCACACACTTGTGCCAGCTGCATAGGAGGTAGAAGTAGGAAGATTGCAGTCTGAGGCTAGGCAAAAACATGAGACCCTAGCAGAAAAAATAAAACTAAAAGAAAAATGGTGGGGGGGGGTGCTGGAGGAAAAGTTCAAGTGGTAGAGCACTTGTCTAGAAAGCACAAGGTCCTGAATTTGAATCACAATACAGAAAAAAAAATTGATCTTTATTACAGTTAATTTAAATTAAAATGGTAGTAAATGAAAAAGTAGTAATCTACATATTCAGAAAGATAAGCGTAAGTTTTTAAGCTGCAGAATTATAAGCAATAAGACTGTGACAACTATTATTTGACAAGCACAGCACCATGCCACACACTTTATACTCATTAATCTTTTTAATATGCATAATCCTGTGAGATGGAGCTTATTATCATACCAATTTTACAGATATCAAAAGTGAGCCTTACAAAGAGCTTAAAATAATTTGCCTACACTTGCACCACTAACCTAAGATCAGACACCAAAGCTTATACTCTTAACTATGGCATCCTGTCTTCAGAGAAACTGCTATTTTATAATACTCCTTAAACACACTACAATCTTACTATTATTCTAGCTAAACTTGAAGTGATTCAATCTCTTTGAATCTAATTGGCATGCATGGAACCAATGAGAAAGAACATACAGACCTCACTCAACAAAATAAAAACAAAAGGTTCTCCCTCCCCATTTTCTAAATGAAAAGAGAACAAATTTGGGGAAGAAAATAAAGTTGGGAAAAAACAACATGGTTTCACTAAAAAGCTTAAAACAGGCTAGCAATGTTTGTGGATAAGAATTCTAAATTCATCTTTAATAATTCAACATCCTAGGAAAACAAGGATGAACCACTAGTAAGGCCAAGCCCTTACTACCAGTTATTACATTTGGGTAAATACAATGACCATAGTAAAGTGTGAAGAAGCCAACCAGATGAACTCAGAATGATCTACTAGCTTCTTGGTCCAAGGTAAATGTATCACGGTTTTACTAAACTACCATTATTATTATTAAAAACTAACACACAAATTTCCAAGGCTATAAACTAGATGCTCATGCCCAACAATACTACATACTGTGTATAAAAGGCACCAAATTTCAGTTCAAATGTTTAAATATGGCAACATGTCAAAAATCATACCACATTACACGTACCTTAAAAATTCTCCCCTCAAAAAGTTATTCCAAAACAAAATTTCTCAGGAGCTCTTCTTTCAATCAACAGAACAAAGTTACAATGCAATCATGAATCTTAAGAAATCTTTCTATTTCAACAAAACAAGTGGTCACTGCACACAAACTATCAATTTAAAAGTAAGTATAAAAAGTTCCTGATTGCACCCTTCATCTGCTACAACAAAATCTCTTTCCAAAACACACCTTGATCTCAACAAAATCCTAGAAAAGTCAACACGGAATATTCTTTACTTAGTGGAAAAAGAAACTTAATTCTTTCATACTTAAGTCTTTTTAATTATCACAGGTTTGAATAAATTTCAATCAAATGCTGCTTATATAATTTTTAAAAGAATATTTTCAGACTAAAAATAATCAACAGGAAAAACATTTTAATCTATCAATAAAAAACAGAAAGCAAGAACACCATTTGCTAAAAACAATAAAAATAAGCGTATTCAAATTAGTTATATAAAAACAACTCTTTCTATTCAAAATTACTAACTCAGCAGGTTGGGGATTGCCAAGTTATTTTAATAGAAATGAGGTTATTTTTTGTTCTTTTTTACTTAATACAAAATCGTTTGAGTTAACATGGTACTTCAAAACTGACAGCATGAATTACTTTGTGAAATTAAAACCAAAATGCAAAATAAGGGAAGAGATTTCAAAATCTGATTGGAGAAGTTTAACTCTCTAATATGCAATTTTAAAAAGAATAGAAAAATGAGCAAAGAACAGGAAAGAAACACCAATAACCAATGTACATGAAAGAGAAGTTCAACAGCACTTATGAGCACACTTCAGTATTTCACCTACAAAATTAGTAAAATATGAAAGTTTGCTATATCCCAGTGTTTCCAAGACTGTGCCAACACCTATTATTAGGAATATAAATGTGTGTTGTATTTCTGAAAGGTTGTCAATTATTAAAATTTGTGTATTCTTGCCCCAGAAATTGGACCGGTAGAAATCTGCAGAGATAATCACATAACAAGAAAAGAGGAGGCACAAAGTTAATCAATGTTTACTCTTCTCTTCTCCGTATCACCAGTGGGGATATCTTCATATCACTACTATCTCTTTATTTTTCATCTTATTTAGGACTCAATCTTACCCTTCCCATATTGCCTTATATAACAGAAAGATTTTTGCTTTCCTCTGAAATGTACATAAATATTATCTATATTATACATTACTTATTTTATTATCTATGTACATTACTTATTTTTTGAATCTCCTAAATCCCAAAATGGGGGGAAAAAATCACAAAGAACTGTTGTGGTGATTAAATAGTAAGGTATAAAACATTTAATTAATGAAAGGATGATTTAAGTTACATTTAACAGATTAAAAAAATCATCACCAGGTTAGCCAAGTGGTAGCACATCTGCCTAGCAATTACAAGGTCCTGAGTTCAACCTCTAGTATCACCAAAAGAAAAAAAAAAAAATCCTGCAGAA